CACACGTGCTAAGCACTTGCATCATCCCCTTTCAGATCTGCAATGGCCATATGAAAGGAGTACCCTTTGGAGAAATCAGATCACATGCCCACAGTCACAGTGTGCTGTGGTGGATCTAGGAACAGAAGAACCCTTACATTTCTGAGGTCAAAATCTACAATCTTAGCTGCTCAGCTACACACTCTCCTGGCTGTACCACCTAAAGTTCTGGTCAAGTTCTGGCAAGCACCACACAGATGAGAAGTGGGAATAGATGACTGGATCTACATGGCACCTGTGACCCTTATCCATAGCCTTCTGAGAGGCAAGACCTCAGAGAGGCAGTAGGGCAGGATGGGAGCCTACCTAGGCTGAGTACCAGAACCCCAGAATTCAAGCCCAGCTACATCTCCTCCTAGTTCTGTGACTCTGAGCAGTTTATTTAGCTCAGCAGAGGGTCTGTGGTAGATGAAGTGGACAGAGTAACTCAGTGGTTCCGCCCTGGTCCCTATTTGTGTACAGCCTCAGGGCTAAGAAGGGTATTTACATATTGAAATGGAAAAATCAAAACAAGAATATTCTGTGATACTGTGAAAATGATATGAAATTCAATGTCTATGTCCATAAATAAAGTTTTATTGGAACACAGCCATGCCCATTTGCCACAAATCATCTCTGGCTGCTTTCTGCGGCCAACCTAAGCAGCTGTGACAAAGCCCTGCAAACCTGAAAATGTCACCCTAGCATTTTGTAGAAAGAGTCTCTTGACATATATTCTAGAGAGCAGAGCATGTCTCCCCCAGCTCCTCCTCACTCTGAATTTTCAGATTCCTTCATGGAGAGAGACGACTCATACAGACTCCAGATGCACTGGTGACTGACCTCCCAGCTGTCCACTATGATTTTGTAAATGCCTGATAGCATTTTAATAAACTGGGTTTGCTTCATTTCACAGCACAGGTTCTGTTTCTTTCCCATAAATCTTCCATTGCAAATCCTAAGCAAAGAATCCTGAAGGAAAAGCCGTAAGGAGAGCCCCTGGCCCAGGTGAACCTCAGTTGGCTGTGACAGCTGTCATCCTGGCACCAGGCTGGGAGAGATGGGGTCTCAGCAACCTGGGCCAATGGGCTGTTTCCTAGCCATGAGCTGCAAACAGGACCCCCCCACATATACCCCCATAGGTCCAGCCCCTCTGAGCTGGCACTGGACACACATTATTACACAATATCCTTTCCCAAAGGACCAACTCAGAGCTCCTGGTGAGGAAACTCATCTGAAGGAGGGATCCAATTGCTCAGCAGGTCAACCACACAGCCGACAGAGCTCCAGAAGCAGACTCCTGCAATGATGCTCCATCCTGCTCTCTGCCCTGAGGACACACTCTCACTGCACGGACACCAAGGTACAGAATCCCCGCTGTTCCCATAACAAATCAGTAGCTAAGGAGGCACCCTGGCCAGACGTCACTCTCTTACCAGGGAGAGACCAGAACAGGTGGATGGAAGGAAGCCATGTTCCCTGGACTTGGGCTTGGGGTGGATTGGACGACAGAGACGCCAGACCAGACAGGCAGGTGGGGCAAACCTCATCTGCATCAGTGCCACTTCCACCAGCCTCAGTTTACCCATCTGTAAACTACAGGCATAAACAGCCATCACTAGGGATAGTGTGAGAATTTAGTTAAGTACAGACCAGGACTGACATGCAACGGATACTCAGGAAATACAAGTTCCCCCATCTTGTCTTTCCCTAGCTCCCTAACAGGTATCAATTCATGAGGATAGAAGAAAATGGTGCCGAACCGTAAGAGAAATTGTGTTCAGCATGTAGGTTAATTTACATGAAGACTCAGAACAGTGCAGGGCAGAGAGTATGGTTTTATATGTGTTGCTAGCATTATTATTTTGTTAGTGGTGTTATTATTAAGCCCAAGAAACTCCTGAAGAAGTTTGGAAATGACTCCTAAAGAAGGCTGAGCACTAGTGAAGAGAAGTCTCCTGAAGGCCACTGACATGCAGTTCAGTATAATCACACCACAAGGGTGGAAGAACTGGCGGTAGCCTCACATTCTTTGTAGGGATGTGAGCTTCAAACACGACACACAAACCCAGATATTGGCCCAAAGGACCCATTCCACATTGCCCTCATTATCGCCTTTGAACATTTCTAATTAATACAGATGCAGAACAGAGTAAATTTGCTTCAACTTAAGTTAAGCAAGCATCACACACATCAGGGCAAGAGGGAAGCCATTTTCACCTATGCACTTAGGTGGATGGGCAGCTCCCACACATGCCAGCGGTTCTGCTGAGAGTCAGAGTCAGTGAAGTGCCTGCAAGGATGGGGTGCTGTAACACACTGCCCAAGGACAGCTTTATTTATGCACTTGCAGAATGTACACGCAGGCCTTGTTTTTCTGGATGATCAGAGAGCCAGCTCACATAGCATCCATGGTTCTACATTTAGAATTGTGTCTTCATTCACATTCTTTCCACGCAGCTCACGGCTCCTGGACTGGAAGAGAGTGGTCACTTTGCCTGGGCCCATCCCCCAGAAAGATGCCAGCTCTGGCTCGCAGACCTTGAGCTCCCAGCCCAGAGCTTGGGCTGAGTTCTCTGGCTGTATTTTGTGTTGGGGTGGTCCATTCTGGTGCGCCCTCCATGACCGAACTGGATGAGGGACCCATGGCCTGGGGTAGGTAGAGGCACATTCCGGAGATGTTAGATTCTGCAGCAGTCAGCTGTGGTGGAGCCAGCCAGATGGGGCCCCGGGCCAAGCGCTGAAGACGTCTGCTCCCAGGACAGGCCTGTCGCTGGATCAACTGTGTTTTATTGTTCTCTTCTGACCCCTCGCTGTGACGTCCTCGTTGACAAAGCCTCCTGCCACTGCTCTGCCCCTGACTGTGCCCTGGGTCATCCTCGTGGTTTTCTTTACTCAATCAGCCACTTCAAGCAACTCTAACAGCTCCTTTCATGCAGCAAAGCTCCCTGCTTCCAGGATCCTAAACCAGACATGAGGTCATGTTCTCCACCTGTGAAGAATTAAAAGTAAGCTGGGGAAGAAATGTACTGAGGAGCGGGAGGAAAGCAAGTCAGGAAAACCAGGGGCCCCGTTAAATTGTTTCAGCTCAGGTTACTCGTGGCCCAAAGCAAACCCTCCGTAAAATGAGATTTAGTAATGCAACCTTTTCTAAAATCTGGAACAACATGATTTGGCTCAAGCACAGAGCATATATGGACTAGCTATAAATTTGTTTCGATGTGAAATAGGAAAGAGAAAGTAACTAGCACATCAAATCTGTGATTTTGCTGGTTTCACTACCAGAATGCTCTGTTTTTGAAAAGAGTAAATCAATTCTCTTGATGCAAAAACAGTGAGTGGCAGTCGTAAACAATGTAGAAATGGTTGAAGATGTAAAAAATCATGAAAAAAATAACAAATGACTAGCATTTGAGAAGCTTTGCCATATGCAAACATATCAGTGTCAATGTACATGAAGTCATTTGATCTTCAACTCCTCAGAGCATAATCAGTCTGTCCATCTTACAGATGAGTAGCCTGAGGTACAGAGAGGTTAACTAATTTGGTTGGTGTCAAAAACTAGGAAATACAAAGGGCCAGGCCCCAAATCTTATGTTTTGTTTATTTAATGCTGGCTCACAACTTGAGTTGATTATTTTCATCTGTCAGGTTGGCTAGTGCTGGTTTTGACAAGCAGGGGAGGTAAGTGGGATGAGTAAAATCAAGGAGTTCACGTTGGCCCTCCCTCAGACCATCTCTGAGGGCTGATCAATGAGCAGGTTTCCCCAGTGGCAGGTCCTAAGTTCTCAGGGAAAAAGGCAAGCTTTGAGGCTCCCGGGAGGAGGACAGGCTGGATATCCCTGCTGGGAGGGGTCTGATCCCTCCCTCCATCTGCAGGACAATGAGGAGCTGTTCTTTCCAATTTGGTCCAAACTAAAATGCATAGACCCAGGCCCCAATTGAAAGGAGCCCACAGGAGCAGATGGGCCAGTGTGCCAATAGAAGCAGAGATACAGTGCAATCCAGACAGATTTCCAGGGCTTTGTGCACTGCACAGAGAGGGGCACCTGCTAGAGACCAGGCACCTCTGTGTTCTCAGGCCATGGGGCAGGAAAATGTGAGAAAGCGCTCTTGGAAAGAAAGAAAATAACTCTTGCTTTAAGTCCTAGCAGTGAGGGGACTCTGACAGGGACAAGCCTGGGAGGGAGGGTAAGGAGGCATCCAGGAGCTGGCATGGCATGAGCAAAGGCTTCATGGTTAGAAGTCTGGGGTCTGCAAGCAGTTTGGGGAGCAGGTGACCCCAGGCCAGACAGAAAGTGGCCATTGGGCCAGCCCTTCCCAGAGACGGAGAGGGGAACTCTCACCTGGCAGAAGGGGTCCTGTTCCCGGCACGTGGACCTTGCAAACAGCTGAGCCTGCCATGGCCAGGCTCATCAAGCGGACACTTACCTTTGCCTCTTCCCTGATTGTTCCATATCATTCTGCAACTCTCACCCTGAAATCCCAGCCTGGCCTTCCCCAGGCCTGCAGCTGGGTGTGTTATTTTGCTCCAAAAGCATAGCAGAGTGCGGCTTCTTACTCGAGGAATGCAGGCTGCGGTCCTCCTAGCCGATGATGAAATGGGCTATTTCTGCCCCAGGGACATCAGCAGGCCTCCAGGCGCTGGCTCCAAGGCTCACTATTTTGTTTTTAATGTTTCCCTAAACAAATGTTTTCCTTCGACCTTGGGATATTTTTATTTGAATCTAGGTGCTGGAATAGTTTAGAAATCATTCTGGATTGAAGTTAGAATAGTGGTTAGGGTCCAGCTCAGCGGCAAGCAATTTCTCACTCCCTAAGTTATCTATTACCCATGGCCGATGTAAAAATAGCTGCTGAGGCTGTTTGTTTAATCTGACTGTTACTTGACACCACACGGGTGTTGCAGTACGGACTGTTTGCCTCTTCCCCACCAAGAACACCATTTGGTTTCCCCCAGCTGGGTCTCTATTTAGGTACGCTTCATGAACTTCCAGTGTCTGGGCAGCTTCTGGTCACTGATTTCCCTCAGCGAGGCAGGCTTGTGAAAAACAAGAGGTCTGGGTCTTGAATCCCTTCCCCTCTCATCTTTGGGCAGCCCAGCTAATGAGCGAGGGAAGACGCTCTGGCTGCTGGGCAGAGCTGGGCTGCCGGAGAGTCAGGGTTCTCTCCCATTCCTGGGGAGGCCTGAAGAGCAAACAGCCGGGACGCGCGGAGAGCGGAAGGTAGGGTGGACACTTGCTGTTTCTTAGCACAGGCAGGAGGCTCAAGCTCCCCGTTGCAGGGACACTTGCTCTGGGCCAGAGGCACTGAGGATGTAGTTCTCCCAGGGCGATGTGCAGGGCGGTGTGAGTGGCCAGGGGCACATCAGGGCTGAGGTTCTCAGCATGCTGGGGGTGCTGGGTTGCTGTGTGAACCATGAGGGGTATGCTGTACAGAGTTACACATGCGTGACTTGTCTTTATGTGTGTCTGAGTGGGCGCAAGCCTGTGGATGTGCCCAGGTCCCTGTGTTCCAAACAGGGCAACTCCACAGTCACAGGTCCTATGGCAGAAGACTGGCTGTCTTGTGTTCCCAGTGCTGGGCTAGGCAGGATCCTACCAGCTGTAACAAAGAGGACAATTGGTCATTGGAACATTCTGGCCCAAGGACTCTGACAGCATATGTGTCCTTAGCATGGAGCCCCTCACAGAGTGTTCCCCACACTTTGGGGTCCTCAACCAGACTCCCTCAGGGCAGGCTTGGCCAAATCTGAAATCATACATTTTTTTTGTCTCATGGAGAATTGATCTCTGAGAAAAGTAATATTGAATATGTGTAGAAAGTTAGGTAGCCTTTAAAAATTATCATTTAGTACATTAAAGTATGCCCATGGATGTCAGTAATGGAGCAGGCAGTGCACATGTGAGGCAGGACTATATGGGAAATCTCTCTACCTTTGACTCAGTGGCTCACTCAGTTCTGCTGTGAACCTAAAACTGCTCCAGGAAATAAAGAATATTTTTTTAAACTAAATAATGGACCATTTCTTTTAATACATCTAACCCAATTACAACAAATTCTATTTGACGTAATAGTTTAAAAAACCCGTAAGTATAGGAATCCTGGAGAGTAGATTAAACAAATGTGTGTATTAAATGAGGTCCAATTATCCATCATTTGACTTCCCTTTACAAAAGCGGTTGGTATACCACAGCCATGGGCTGGGTGCCTGCTTTTGTAAATAAAGTTTTATTGGCACACAGCCACACTCATTCATTTACATACTGTCTATGGTTACAATGGCTGAAGTCATATGGCTGGCATAAAGGAAAACATTTACTAGGTCGCCCTTTACAGACAGTTTGCTGACCTGTGCTGTATGAGAAAAATCCTTGAGATGGGTCAGTTTGGGACTCACACTCACCAAAAAACAGTGAAAGATCAAACTGTTACAACAGCCTGTGAGCTGGACCCTTCAGAACGAGTGGTTGGCTCTGGAGCCCCCTGTCCCTCCCCTGAGCTGGTTTTTCCAGTCTGACTGGTACAGGAAATGTTCAGTTTGTCACTGGGAGGGTCAGTTTGCTGTGGAGTGTGGCCTGGGCTAAGCAGGGCAGATTGTGCTTATCAGGATGGTTTATAAATAGACGTCTCTGGGTGATCCAAGTCCAGCATGCTTCTGCCCCTGGGGAACAATTTTACCTCCTCTCTGGGGACCAGAAGCTCATTGGGATGGAAGCAACTGTGCCTACTAGAAGGGAAAAGGGCTGGCAGAATGCTGGGTCCTAGAAACAGAGGGTCTTGGACCTCCTGGAAACCTGGGAGACAGAGGTATGTGAAGGAGGCGGGGAAGGCTGGAGAGGGCCGCGAGCCTCCGAGGAAGAATGCACTCACCCAGATGTCCTGTCATCAGTATGTGAGCAAGAGTCTTGGTATTTTCTACTTCTTTGCTCCTGACCCTAAGGAAGCCCTAGAGACCCTTACAGAAAGGGGAAGCCCTGTGTCTGGAAATAGCCCTATTCCTCCAGGCTATGCCAGAAATCTCAGTAACTGAAACCTGCCAGCTTGTAGAGCCAGGGCTGGACCATCTTCCTTGTTGTCTTGGGATTTCACTCCATCTACCCAGGGTTACTGGACAGATGCAAAGGGCTTTAAAAGAAGGTGATCCTCATGGAGACACACAGTGTTGACGTTTCCCAACAGGCTACAGTGGGTCTTGTTTTTATTTCCATGAGAGGGTTTAAAGCACTGCTCACCCAATCCAGCCAATCCGCAGCGCTGCAACTCAATCTTATGTTTAACTCCGTTAGTTAGGAAACCCCAAAGCACCTCTTAGTTTCTACTGGGCTCCCAGGGCTTGCATGATACAGCTGGTGAGGGCAGATGGAGAGGGGAGAACAAGGGACTGACCAGGGTATATATACAGATCAAGACCCCAAAATGCAGCATGTGGAGCACTGCTGAGATGTGTCACCCCCGAAGTAAGTCATCAGCATCATTCTAGAACATTCCCTGGATGGGTCTGCATGTGTCAGTAATTTGTGGGCTCCTCTGTCAAGGCAGGGGCAGATCAGGTTCTCAGCTGACCTCCGCTCCCAGGTGGGAGACTGAAGATTAATTGGTGCAAAGCGTTTTCCCTTCTGAGCCTGACATCGGTTGGTCTCAGGGAGTTTGAGAGCGGGATTGGAGCATTTGGAAATCTGACAGCAAGAGTCCAAAGAACCAACCAACCAATAATATCTTTCTTCCTAGAGCTTGACAGGCAGACCTTCCTTTCTTAGTAGGAAGGGGAAAGGGACCCTCTGGACCACAGCATGTGAGAGAAGGGAGGAGGCCTGCCCTGGCTTCTTCCCCATGTGTTCTCTGCATGGCCGTCCCACTAGACTCCAGCCCAGAGAGGACATGAGCATGGCACAGCCATCAGGGACCTGTAATGGCTTCCAAATCCCACAGTGATGCCCCCACATGGCCTAAGAGGATCCCAGGGGCTCCTACAAGGCTCCTACAGGCCTCTGCAGCCTGGACACCTCCCATCTTAAAGCCTTGCTTGAAGCTCTCCCTGTTCCTGCCAAGACTAGGTGCTGGCCTTTGCCTCTGAGCCCTGTCTGCCACAGCTAGGTCATGCTGGCTGCCCCTTGACTTGCCCTGTCCTGGGGCAGCCTAGCCACATGCAGCACCACCAGCCTTCCCCCAACCTGGCCCTGTCTGCCCCTCTCTGAGGCAGGTCAGGCCTGAAAACCACAGAGGTCAAAGGATCAGAGCCATTTCTCTCCCTCAGTGTGCCCTCCATTTTCTCAGGGAAGTCACTGGCTGCCTTACTGTTGTGTGCAAAGACCGTACATGGATGGTTTCGTTTTATTCTCGAGGTCACCTGACCTGATAGGTCCTAGGATGCCCCTCACAGAGGTATGGACTATGGCTTAGAGAGGTTGAGTAACTTGCCCCAGGATGCACAGCTAATGAGGTGCTGAGATTAAACTTGGGATCTGAGTTCAAACCCCACGTCTTTTCCTAACTGCACCTCTATACCTGCAGATCACATCAGCAACCAAGAGTTTTACAAAGAAGGCTGGTCTACTCACCAAAAAGTCACAGTCTTCCTTAGAAGAGTCACACTTGCCTAACAGCAAAGTCGTCCCAGTGGCCCTCTTGCCCCCTGCCCTGGGTTTAGCAGATTACATAGTGAAGATGATAGTGACATTTATGGATGGTCACTAGGAGCCAGTCACCACACAGGCACAAATTCCCTGGGCTCTCATGGCCTCATGAGGCAGGTATCACTCTCAGACTAATTTTACAGATGAGGAAACCAAAGAACACAGGCTTTCTACCTTGCTAAGGGCTACTCACAGCTAGTGCAGTGGGAACCATGCTCATGTCCATGCCCTTCCCACTGTGTCGTACTGCCTCTGTCTAAGGACTGGAGGTGATGTCAGCTGGCATTCAGGGAGCACACACTCTGTTCTTTACATAACACGCTGGGCAATTCTGTTGGTTGGTGTTAGGACTGCAGTGGTAGATACGGGAGCTGTCTTCTTCAAAAACCCATGGTCTCCAGGGATGGAAGCCTCCATCTAGTGAGCCCTTACTCTGTACAAGTCTCTTCTGGGCTCCTGACATTTGTTTACCACCACCCTTCACAACCACCCAGGTATTGCAATTGAATGATTAGAGGCCCAGAGAGGGTTCTCCTTGGAAAGCGAGCACTGGTCTGACTCGAAGCCTCATGCTCTTTCCACCAGGCTCTGCTTTGTGCCCCGCTGGGACCCAGCTGGGTGCTCACGCACAGACTTACAGCTAGAGCTCCCTCCCAGCTGTCTTCAAGGAAGCCCTGCCCACTGAGACCTCTCTTCTTCCACCTCCTGGTCCCTGCACCTGGCACTGACCTCCGCCTGCTCTCCCCTTATAGGGCGATTGTCCCTTGGAGAGGGCATCATGTCTGATTCATCTCTGCACCCCACACAGGCATGGCCTGCCCAGGGCCAGGCCTAGAGCAAGGCAGACACAGCCCAAACCACAAGCGTTGACAACCATGAGATGAAAGTGGCCCGAGAGCTGATGACTTATCACTACAACCTCCCAGGAAGGGATACAGCCTCCAACCTAGGGCAGTGATGCTCCACAGTTTGGTCTAACCAGCCCACCAGGGCCTCCTGAAAAGTGCACGCTCACCACTGACACATTAGTTGGAGAAAGGACAGCTGTCATCCACCAAACAGCCATCCCCACCTACGTCCCCAGCCTCCTGTGGGCAGTGAGGACACCAGGGGCAGCAGGGCTCTGGACCTATGTGAGGGGCTGAGGTAGGGAGGCAGGAATTCCCAGTGGCTCTCCATGTGAGGCCCTCCCCCATGCCAGGCACCCCTGCCATCATGGCCACCCAGGGACAGGGAAGATGGCCCCTCCAGTATACTCCCCACAGGACATCCTCTAGCTTTACTAAGGCAAATGCTCCCTGGTGGCAAGAGAGGGCCATAGGAGGTAGAAGAGAAGGTGTCTCGACTGCATAGAGAGAAAGAGCCATGTAGTGCAGAGACCTGAGTTTGAATCCTAACTTGGCTGTTCCCTAGCTGTGTGACCTTAAGCAAGTTCCTCAACCTCTCTGAGCCTCAATTTCTGCACCTCAGATTCCTCAGCACCAGCCCCTACCTAACTTGCCAGTTTCTGTGACCACCAAGTGAGCTCATGGCTATAGGGTTCTTAGCAGGTAGTAGGAGGTGGGTTCACAGGACGGATGGCCAGGAAC